GTATCTTTCCCATGAATGTCCATTTAGAGCACCACTTAGAGTTTGATTAGTATGTTCATTATAATTTTGAATAAATTGAAAAAGTAGTATCAGGTTGTTAAAAAGAGAGAGGCGGGTCCTATGTTTCCCCTATGTTCACCCTTGAATCTGGTTGTGCTTATGAAGGCATGTAACTTCCCAGACTATGTCACAGATGGCTCTTTCCTGGTTCTTATATCCACTCTCTCAGAACCCTGAGCACCACGCAAGTATCACACCTCTGCTCTGAGGCTGCCATGCTGTGAGGAAGCCCAGGCTAGTTCAAGCAGAGAGACCATGTGAACAGAACCTGAGAGTTCATGGAGAGAGAGAGATCCAGCCAGCTTCCAGCTGTTCCAGCCCCCTCCTATCCTGCTACAGCCACTGTCTGATTGACTAAGCAGAATTGCCAATAGCACCTCTTCAAATTCCTGATTTCTAGAAACTAGACAGGAGAATAAAATAGTTGTTATATCTCAATAAGATTTGAATGTAGAACACTCATCCTTCAGATTCTCTCTCTACTGACTTGACCAGTTTTCTAGTTCTAAGATTCACAGTTTTGAATTATTTGTGAGGGAACCAGAAGCACAGTCATAAGCTTTTAGCATTAAGCCACTACCTAGGCTAACAAAAATAAGCAAAACTCCCTTAATAAACAAAATTACAAATGAAAGGAGAAATTACCATAGAAAGCATAGAAATACAAAGGATTACAAGCTGATACTATGAACAACTATGCCAATAAAGTTGACCACCTTGAAAAAAAATGGGTAAATTTCTAGATCAATATAGTTTACCAAGACTTAACCAAGAAGAAAAAGGTTGGATAAACACCACAGTCATATAAAAGAAGAATCAAAAAATCTCCCCAAGAACAAAAACAACAACCAGGTGGCTTTATAAGCACATGCTATTGCATAAAATTCCAGTTTAAAAAAAAAAAAAACTTAGTCTGACAAGGACACAGCATCACGTCTGTGTATTTCTGCCAAAAATGTATAGCCTGGATCTAACAACAAAGGAATACCAGACAAGCATCTGTGAGGTATAGTGTATAAGCAAATGGCCTGGGCTCTTCAAAACTGTCAAGGTCATGAGAGACAAAGAAAGACTGAAGAATTATTGCAGGTTAAAGGAGACCAAAGAGACTTAACCAAAGGCAATGTGTGATCCTATACAGACCAGAAGGGAAAAAAAAAAATACTGTTTCCTTTGCTCTATGGAACATTAGTGGAACAACTGGTGAAATTCAAAGAAAGCCTTTAGATAATACTGAGATGAAACAGAGTAAGACACACACGCGGGGATTATAAATATTCAACAGCTGGGCCCTCCCTGGTGGCGCAGCGGGTTAAAGCACAGCACTAAGAGGCTAAAACCACTTCCGCATGAATTCAATCCTTGCCCCGGAGGTGACCACATGGCGCAGCAGACCTCCCCTGACCTGCTGACTACTCCCCTCAGCAGTGTACTTCGTGGATCTGCCTGTTCTGCTCCCCACTCTGTCTCTGGTGAATCCTCTCACCACCCTGCACCTCTGGCCTGTACCCCCGTTCTGTGTGCATAAATAAATCTTTAAAAATAAGTAAATAAATATTCAACATTTGCGGTATCTGGGTATTCTTTGTAGTATTTTTGCAACTCTTCTGTAAATCTGAAATTATGGGAAAATGTTTTTTTAAATCTTTATTAAAGTCCTCAGGGCCAGGGCCAGAGTGCTTGGTATGTAGTAAGGAATGAACAGAAGCTGCAGGCAGTCTGAGCTCTGTATACCCTCCATGTCTGCAGGAAAAGGCTGGGAAGAATTCTCTTGAGACCAGCGGAGCAGGATGGCAAAAGAAGTACTGTGCATGGCAGAGTACTCAGCAGTCAAGTCACTCATTTCCTATAGGTGTGACTGTGGGCAGCTTGTATAAGCTCTCTGTGCCTCAACTGACATGTAAAATGGGCACGAGCAGAGTACTTATCAAGGAGAATATCCATATGACACAGAATGCTACAAGCCATAAGGGGAAAGGTGGAAGCAAACCTAACACTGCATTAAAAGTATAAACAATTGGAATGATGAGACACTGTTAAGGAAGCCAGACAAATGCAGAAAGAAGACCTAAACCTGACTCAAGACATATGCAGACCATGTAAATACTGTAACTCTTATGCATCTTAAGAAAAACATAAATAAACTCCATAGAAAAATGATCTGGGCATCAACAGGCAAGGAAGGAAACTGGAAAAACTGTAAGAAAGCATGCTTAATGTTACCAAACTAGGAAAATTTAAAATGAAACAACAAAGACACCATTTCACACTATCATCAAACATAAGCAACATTAAATGAAAAAGTCTGAAAATATCCTAAGTTGGCAAGGATAACTAGAAATGGTACTTCTTACACATCATTGGCAGGAGTGTACACTATGCTTCTTTGGAGAGCAACTTGGCGAAACCTCCTGAAGTTCAAGATGTGAGATACAACAGAGTCATCAGTTCTACACCTACTTGTGTATCCTAGAAAACTCTAACACGCGCACTGAGAAGAGACACACTAATACGTTCCATGTAGCACTCTTGATGTTAGAAAGGAAATGGAACTGTTCTTAGTACAGATACATCAACTGTAGCTGATCCACGCAATAAGATACTATGCAGAAAATAAATTGAACAAATTAAAGCAGTAGTTCTCAGACTCTAGGATGATGAGGAAAGATTGATAGAGGAAATTTGCTGGGCTCTACCCCTAGAACTTCTGAGTCAATGGGTTTTAGGTGGGGCCAAAACTTTGCATTTCTAACAACTCAGATGTGGCTGATCCAATAACATCACTTGGAGAACTACTAAACTAGTCATACATTTTGACACAGCTAAATCTCAAAAACCTAGTGCAGTTAAAAGAAAGTTGTGAAGGATACATATCAGATGTGTAAACATATTAAGTAACAGTGTCTAGTTGATACATACACATGTATATATTTTTGTAATAAAAGTACATAATATACATGGAAAAGTCAGGAGAGTTATTATCTCTGGAAAGGGAGGAGAAGGAGATGGGAGGAGAGTCTTAGCTATTAATATATCATTTCATTGCTGAAGTGAAAATTTTCAAAGATATTTGTATTTGCTTAATCATAGTGGTGAAGAAAGGTATGCATTATTTTATGTACTTTAACATAGGCTTGAGTTTTCAGGAACTTTAAAAGTTTAACTTGTATAGTATCTCCCACATAGGTTGTTGCAAAGCCCAAATGACAAAATTTGAAACTTCTGGGAGCAAGATGAAGTTGAGTCACTGAATCTCTGTCCCTGTATATCTAACCAAAATAATAATAATAAATTAAGATACAAAAAAAATTAAGAGAATCTAAAAGGGTGCAGACAGATGGCCCTAGCATCAAAAAGTGACTAACCCAGGAAAGAAATAGAAGATTCTGGAGTAAGTCAAATGTTGTTCTTAATATGCCCCACAAAAGGATACCAGAATACCAGGAAACTTTCCATCTAGAGGGGAGTTTACAACATGGGACTAAGTAAAGAAAATTTTTCTGAGAGCAGAAATCCCTATCTGCCTCCAGGAACATAAGTGGGGAAAGGAAATACCTAGTACTAGTTTCCATTTTCCCATTATGATCCACCACAAGGATCCAAAGGCAAATATATTTGTTCATACGCATCCCGCACACCTTGCACTATTCACAAGGAGAAAATCTAGACAATAAAGTGTGTACCTACCCTAGTTGTTACCTATTTGCACCTAAACATTCTAAGGTAATTATTCGCCTATTTCTATCTCTCCAATAGACAGCACCTGTAAGATAGCATTTGTTCAGGACAGAACACAGTAAGTGGGGATATTGAAAATCATAGGGCCGGCCCTCCCTGGTGGCGCAGCGGGTTAGAGCACAGCACTGAGAAGCTAAAGCCGCTTCCGCATGAGTTCGATCCCCGCCTGCCCCGGAGGTGACCACATGGCGCGGCAGACCTCTCCTGACCCGCCCGCTGCTCCCCTCAGCAGTGTTCTGCTCCCCACTCTGTCTCTGGTGAAGCCTCTTGCCACCCCTGAGCCTCTGACCTATACCCCAGTTCTGTAAGCACAAATAAATAAATCTTGAAAAAAAAAAAAAAGAAAGAAAATCATAGGGCCACCAACTGGGAGCTGGTGACAAAGAAACTGACTTCCCATTGTATTCAGATGCCACATACTTGGCATGCACTGTAAACCAGCAGAAAAATGAAACCCCATGGGGTCTTAGGCATTTCCTAATAAAAGAGTCTACCTGATGAATGCAGATGGCTGTAGAGTGTACTTAAAATCTTGTGAGCAAATTCCGCTCCTTGTGACGGATATATTCTATAGATTAATAAACAATACAACATTTTACATGCTTCATAGTCGACAGTTACATTCTGAGAAACTTATTCTTGACACTGAATGAAGGAATAACTAACTCAAGAAACTGTGACTATATCACCAGAGACTTCTAGCTTCGTGTCAGTTAAATAGGCTACACCGCCTATTTAAATGTAAATTAAAAAAATTTTCTCTACCTCTCTGCCCTCTTTGTTCCTTGTGATAGGAGGTTACAGAAATATAACCTTCAATACAAATGACTATAGGTGTTTTGGGTTTTGTTCTATGCAGAACTAAATCAAAGTATTTTAGGATTTAAATGTTCTATTTCCACAGCTGGAGAGGAAAGCGGACGCTCTGAAAAATCAGAAGAAAAGCAAAGCCTTTGGAGTGGGGGTGGGAGTGGGGGTGGGGGGGGCAAGAAAATAGGTCTGGGACTCATCCCCAGCCTGAGGACGCCGTTACTAGGCAACCTCTCGCGTCCCTAACCGCCGCGGGAGAGCGGCTTTCTCCTCGTTGCTAAGGAGCGCCACGCCACATCTCAGCCCTGCCGTAAACCTGCGCGCTCTTGCGACACCGCCGCGCCTGCCGCTGCGTGCGCGCCCTCTGCCCCCACTCTCCGCCCCGGCCGCCATTGCCTCGTGCCCGCGCTGGTCGGTTGGTGGCGCCTTTGTCCTACGGCGGGCAGGTGGGCTGAGGCGGAGGCGGCAGCGGCGGGCCTGAGGCGAAGGAGCGGCCGGGCGCCCGCCGCACTGGTAGCGGTGAGTGCCGGGAAGCGATGGCCGTCCGCCAAGGCGAGGGGCTGACGGGCAGGCGGTTGAGGGGGGGCCGGGGCCGAATGGGGAGGCCGAGACTGGAGGGCCCGCTCGACGCGCGGCCGCGGCCTCCGCTCCCCTCCGGGTGCGCGCGGGGCTGCGCATGCCCGGTGCGGGGCGCGGCCTCCTGGCTCCCGTCAGGCCCGGGCCGGGGCGGCCCGCGGTGGCCTCGGGTCAGCGGCGCCGCACCTCAGCTCCTCTCTGCGCAAACCGCCGATAAAAGCGTCCTCGGAGCCTCCCCGTAGGTTGGGATCGCGCGCTCCGCGCCCCCTTGTCGCAGTGGTGAAGTCGCTCGCCCGCAGGGCCTCGGCGAGTCGGTGGCGCAGTGGGGATTCGGACCCGGGCGAGGTGGGCCGCTGGGCCGGGCGTTCTCTGGGGTGACCAGCGCCGTGCGGCGAGTCGAGCGCGGGCCCCCATCGCCGCCGCCTCGCGGTTCCTGACAGCATCCTCGAGGCGTCTCCAAGTCATGTGACACCCCACCCATTTTATAACGCGGACCCGGGCCCGAGAACGGGGGACACTGTGCCTGAGGTTACCCTGGAAACTGGCGGCCGGGCCCTCGCCCCAGCCCGCCTGCTCTCGCGTCCCCTGACCCGGGGGTCCCCCCGCGCCTCGCTCCCGACCACCCGCCAGGGGCTTCTTTAGGACGCGTTTCCCAAATTCCAGCCTCGCGTTGCACCTTTACGTCCGCCTGCCGTCTGTACTGCCGGTTACCAAATGTCAACTTATTTCTTTCAACTTTTTTTTTTTTCCTTTCTCAGATATGTTTGTGTAAGGTGGCATCGTACATCACAAACCGTATAATGGAAAGCCAGTTATTCGAATGCTCGTAAAAAATAATAAATACCTATCTATTAAAATAAACAGTGCGTCCTTGTTCCTCCTGAAATTATTGTGCGTTCCACGCTTTGGGAAACGCTGCCCTAGGAATGCGGGGTTCATTGCGATCCGCTGGCGTCCAGAATTTTCCCCTGAGGCATAGCAGATTCCGCGAAACGCCCCCAGGCAGGATCTTCGGGACTGATAATTAACATTAGAAGCTTCCTCTTTGTAAACTGTTCTCATTGTTGATTTAAAGTAATAGCTGAGAGAACTGCGAGAACTGTCCTCTCAAGGACACCTGGGGTGCCTCCCTGATGTTCTTGTTGCATTGTGGTGCAGTCACCACCTGACACTTCGTAAAAAGATATTTCTGCAGACGCCCATTGAGCTGTTTTGGTTTTTGACGACTCTACATTTAATGTTTTGTGTATGATTCAGTCTGGGTGTGAAAAGTGACTTTGTGTTGACTTTTTCGAACCAGTAAAGCCCAAGCTTTGCATTGTGGGTATTGGCGATCACTTGGCTGTTCAGCATCAGCTCTTCCTTCCTTCTGCTTTCTTTGCCTTTCTTTTGGCTCCGCTACTTCCAAGTACTCTCTGAAAGCTCTGATCTTTTAACCTAAAAGATAGGAACGATGATTTTATGAGTAGAATGGGCTGGAGGAAACCATCTCACACGGCATGGAGAAGGGTTTCTCTAACTGCAGGTTTCTCAGTGTCACATGCCTGTGAATGCCACATGTCAAAGGAGGCATTGACACGTTTATAGTTAACAGTCTGTTCTGTTTGTGGTGTGCTCATAAGCTCTGTTTTTGTGTATGAGCACAGGCTTACTTTAATTCATTGAAAGGAAACTCACAAAGTCAGCTCAAGCCATTCAAAGGATTTTGCCCCCAATCTGTAAACTGAAAAAATAATATTCCTTGGGGTTACTTTGGTATGAGCACAGTGGAGAACTTAATTCAGGGCACAGTAATTTCCTTCACGTTGCTAAATAGAAGTGGGATTTTATTTTACTTGAGAACATTTCAGAACTTAAGCAAGTGGAACCTCAGCTGCCAGTGTTCAGAAACTAAGAATAAGACTTTAGAAAGTTAGACAAAGAGCCTGATGGCTTGAAACTTGATTTTCGATAACCATGGCAAGTATTCCATCTCCTGTGGCCTGCAGATGGCAGTGCCTTTGTACAGTTTACTACTACTGTGAGAGTCTTGGGATTCAGTTGTGCTGCTTTGAAGAATGGAAAGCCTTAGGAGGAAATATAGTAATGCTTTATTACCTTGTTTGCATTGGTTTTTTTGTTTGTTTGTTTTTGTTTTTTTGCGCTGACTCCCCACTTGAAGAATGAAAAGACTGCTCCAAACTCAGTTTATTCTTGCAACATGCAACGAGCAGCGCAAAGACCAGCTCATTTGCTCCTACCAGTCATCTTTGAGGTGTGTAGATGAGATGATGATGGTGGTGGTGGTGGTGGTGATGATGATGTTGTCTTTGCCAATGAGGAAACAATGGCTGAGATTAGATTTCTTGCCCAAATCACATATTTAGTAGAACATATACAAGATACTGAAAATAAAGGATTTCATGATCAAGTGAAATTGAGAAATGTTGAGGTAAAGCGGTCCGTATCCAGAACTTCTCAGAAGCTTTAACATGGTAAGCATGTGCGATGTAGGTGTCCAAGAGGAGGAGGCATCCTGATGCCTTTCTCTGGCAGCGGCCTCTTATTAGCATTAATGTGCCCCCACACCCCTTTTTCCTTTCCTGGTTTACTAATTATTGTGTATCTTTCAGAAAAGTGTTTTTTAAAGCTCAGTCAGCTTTATTGTACCAAAAAACTCCAGCTTAAGCAAAGTTAAAGTACCAAGTTAAAAGGATCGTACCCAACAAAAATGACTCTCTATGTTACTCATTAAATGAGAGGCACTAGTGGAAGGGGGAGGGTGAGACCACTATCTAAAGCAGCAGCACATTAGGGAAATATGAAGTATACTGACAGCTAAATATATAATAGCAGCATGCCTGCTGCTTTGTAAATGGTGGTTTTATTACCACCAGATATGCATATTTATAGGGACAGTCATTTTCATCCTTTATCCTATCACTTGAAAAATAAGAGGCAATAGGTCAACTGGAGCAGTTACTTTCATGTTAAGAAAACAGTTCCCCTCAAAAAGTCAGAACACCCCCAGACCATAAGACTCTTCTCTTTAGTTCATATTCAGAATGACATTGGCGGCCTATCTTATGACTGGCAATTTTAGGCAAGTATCAGGGCCAACTACAGTTGCCCTGGAGATCGGTCTTGAAGCAGAGTGTCATGTAAGTTAGCGCTGTACAGAGTATTGGAAAGCTTCATTATGAAATAATTTGAGTGGCCCCTGACTTAGATCTGGAATAACTGAATTACTAAAGATCAGGTTAATCCTGATCTAGTGGGCAAGCTTTTGAGAACTCTGAATTATAGATAATTTGGCTTAAGTGAGTACATTTAATTATGCAACTGGAAATTGAGATAGTAATAACATATATTTAGGATGAGAGGTGATGCAAGAAGTTTATTTTTAATCTCCCCAGAAAGTATTTTGATCTCAGAAAAATAGGGAAAATGTGGTTTTGTTGTTGTTGCTGCTTCCAAATTTAGGGTTATAAAGATGTAGATGAACCTTTCTCAGCCTTTGGGAAGCTGGCACCAGACGACATCAGAATCACCAGAACAGTTGTTGGAAATGCAGATTCTTAGATGGCGCTCCTTACCTACAACTTGCAAGTGACGCCTGTCTAGAAGTAGAGGATAGGGAATCTGGCTTTCAAAAGCCATGTCAGGTTTTGTGTACATGAAAGTTTGAGAACTCCTAGTGTAGACAATGAATTTTCACTCATTTTGATGGTTGAAGAAAGTCTAGTACTATAATGTACTCAATTTGGGTTACTAATGGGAATCAACAGTTCTGATTTATGGTTGGATTTTCATTAATGGGTTCATTTAAGCAAGGTTTATAATTTAACTATAGGGTTTTGTTTGTTTGGCTTCATCATTTGAACTAGAAGTCATAGTAACAGGATATCTGTAGTCTTCAATACTTTTTAATTTCCTCCATTCACACCAGTAGAATGTTTTCACCTTGAGAACAAAGAAAGCAGACATAGCAAATTCCACAGTCCGCTTATTAACTTTAGATTTGCTCCATTTTGCAAATGTAGTAGTGGAAATGTAAAATTGTGTGTGGTCCCTTTTCCCCTTTTTGCAAAGAGTTGTATTTAGAAATTACGACAGAATACTCAAAAGAAGCAGGAGTTCTAGCCACCACCAGAAAAAATAATTCCAGGAAGCTTGCAGTTTGCTCTTTATTTGCCAAAGAAGTGGCAATGTACTGTCAAAAAGTGGCCAACTCCGTGGTTAATATATTTTTCTCGCCATTTTATAACCAGATATAACTAGAAATTTAAAAGTTTAGGATACTTTTAAAATAAATGATCAAATGAAATTGAAGAGAAGTGAAGGGGGGGCAAGCAGACTGATCTGAGAATGACTGTTTTTACTTCTAGCACTTTGCAAATGGGTTGATTCCATTTCCTTTGTGTGTAGCCAAGGAATTATGCTTTCTGTTTTCAGGGATTATATCTTTACAGATTTTCACCATTGTCATGACATTTTCTTTGTAACAGATTGAATTATTTCCCTTTGAGCACAGTTTAGAGAGGTTTATTGACCCAAATTACATCTTATGATATATAAGCTAAAAGTGTAAATAGGAGTTCCCAAACATTTGTCAAGGGTCATTGGAGATATTTGTTTAAATACAGATTCTTAGGTTTCATACTCAGAGTAAATTTGAGATGTGGACTGGAATCTGATTTTTAACCATCTCTTCAAGTGGTATTGATGTATCTTCATTCTTCAAATGAAAAGTATCTAGGTAAATGAGAATGGGAGGCATGGGGAACTGTTCAGTGAGTGTAGAGAATTTTGGTTTTACAAGATAAAAATGTTCTAGAGATCTATTGCATAACATAAATATACTTAATACTACTGAACACTGAAAAATGGTTATAGTAAGAAATTGTGCATTTGTGTGTTTTTTCCACATTTTTAATATTTTTTCCACATAGGCCAGTGAATTGAACTTATAGGTTGTTAGCTATTAATTACTTATTGCTCTGGCCATCACTTTATAGTTCTTTATAAATTGATGACCTTTTAAGCATTTTTCCCCACCTGCTTTCCTATAGTGCTCAATATTTTGAATGTCTTATAAGGGTTTCAGTATTTCCGCTCTCATTTTTTAGGTAACATCCATATGGTAAATTTTTATCAGTTTGGCTTCACTGAGACTGTTTTTGGTAGTTCACATCACAGCATCACTGTGGGCCTGTTAACACCAGCCCTGCCAAAGACTAGAACTCAGATTTGCTGATCTTGGCCTAGTGCGCTTCCCTCAAAAGAAATAAAATAGGCGGGAAGTTGAATGTTGATAGACAACATACGCCTGAAGGATTAAAGCAAATAGAATCTTAGTAGCAAACTAAAAAATGTTTAGTAGTTTGGGATGATAGAAATTAAAGTGGTAATTGAGTAAGTAGGCCCTATCCCTGTTGAGTGTCTGAGGCGCTCAGAGAGACTGGCCTTTTCCAGGTTCCAATAGCACTTGTGGGAAGAATATTGGTCACAGGAGTGAGGAATTTAAGAGTGTTCAAGATGGAAACCTTGTCTTTCCACACTACCCACTGGAGGCAATGTAACATTGTACTTAGGCACTTTGGAATGGGGCAGATTTGAGTTTGTATCCTCCTGCCTCTTGATCATTTTATGGTCCCAGGTAAATCACTTAAATTTCTCTAAACCTTAAAATTTTCTATACACACAATAAAGATCAGAGTCAAGCAATTAAATGGTGTAGTCCACACAGTGCTCTTAGTACAGACTCTGGGACATAGTTCGCATTCTATAAATATGTTACTGTTGTTCCTAAGGTTAATAGTCTAATAATTGAAGATAAAATTATTTTAACCCAACAATGAAGGAGCTAATCAATATGAGGTGATAAGTAGTTTTCAAAGTAAGCTTAAGGGGTTGATTTTAAAACAGAGCATCTTCTTACCCCTGAGTGGTTACAGTATAACTTCCCTGATGGAACAGTATACCAGCCAAAGACATCTTCATACAGTTTGAGAAGTCCTGTCCTCCTCCCTCCAGTCTGAGGAGTTTAATATGTGATATCTGCTCTTGTCGGTATGGTTTTCCAAGTTACATGAGCTTTACTGTTCTATTATCATGTATTTCGATTTAGTAATTCCTGATTGCTAACTGGTTTTCAACTAAACCTTTTGGACAGTTACATTTCACTTGTAGTGTCTTACTAATTTATGTAGATTTCTAGATTCTTTGAGCAGTTCATGGTAGCACTCTCACTAAATGCTGTCATCCTGCTACTCTTGTTTACAGTAGTTGCTGTTCTACTGCAATAGCCTGTTAACTATAAAAATTGCTTTTAAGAGTTGGTGGTTTAATCAAAAAATAGATGGAGCAATGTAGTTCTTAACATATGAATGAAACATGCATTTTTATTTATAGTATTTTCCAAGGACCACTGTGTGTTCCCTGTCCAACATGTTAGTCTAAAATAAAATGCAGATTAGGTAATGTGTCTTTCTTTGGGTGTCCTTTACCCCATTCCCCTTCCTATCAAGTAGCATGTTTTCTAGATTACTTTCTGACTTCTTTTATAAAATGCCTTCAGTTAGTACTGCTTTTATTGTCTAAAAAATCCTTACTGAGAAGAGAAGTGCTTTTAAAATATTTTCAGAAGTCCGCTTGGAAATCATGTATGTATTGTTCAGAACATACACTTTTTGGTGATGGTGAATTTGAATGCCACTCACATTGCTAGTAAATGAACATGGTGTAGAAATACCAACCACACCAGAGTGGAAGCAACACTGAGACTAGAGACTGCCTTTTGGTGTTAAAGCAGTTGGCTATGATAAAATATGCAGGAGAAAAAAGTCACCCTTTCTTCCCATTTCTCCAATCTCCTCCAATGCAGATGTGGCTTTTCCACATCTCCTTGCTTGCTGTGTTGCCCTCTTGTTGATTAAACAATTACTATCTTTATAATTGTAATTCACCTTCTAATGGCCAGAATGATCCCCAGATTGTCTTCCCATCTTTCCCTCTTCTCCTTTAACATTATTTCCATTTACTTGGTGTAGACTATATGTCTGTAAATGTTTGGGAAGAAACGAATTAATTTTAACCCTTTACAATTCCCAGTATTTGCATTTTCAAAGAGAAACTTGCTCAAGTGAACTTCCAATTGATAGATTTTCAAAAAATTTGAATGGGCTTTTTTTTTCCCCCTTAATTCTTTAAATCTTCATTATACTCAGGTCAACTCCCTGAAGTAACTTGTGCTTTTGATAGCTTCTCTATTCCGTCTGTATTTCTGAACTCATAGGTTTTCCAAAAGTTCTGTGTTTAGGTATGTTAAAATTTATTGTGTGGGAATTGGTGGTAATGATCATTTTGCTCACACAAACTCTCAAAGTCCCCCGTCCTCAGCCTTATTCTAACCTGAGCAGTCCTTTTAGATGGCAGGGAGACTATTAAAAATCTCCAGGCCTCACTTTCTCTAACTCATGCCACATGAAGATTTAATAAACTCCTAAATAGGTGGCTGAATAAAAAAACACTTCACATCCCACACTAAAAGTTTGCTGATCCCTACAGTTGAGAGAGTGACCTGAGAGTTCCCTTTTTTGCAGAAGAGCTCCCTTTTTTACATTTTTTTCCGTGCCAACCAAATGTAGTTGCTTTGGACTACTCAATGAAAATAGATACTATGAGGTACCTGACAGTAAAACTAGTTTAAAGGTATAATCTTTACTTTTAAAATAATATTTCAAATAATTGCAAAATTATTTCACCACTTCAAACTTACTTACCTCCATCATTCTAAATGAAACTAGTTTTGCCCCAAAGGTTCATGATCTGTGACCATTTTGGTCTCCCTGGTTCTATAGGTAGACACAGAACCAGATGTAATGATTATAGACAGTATAATAGGTCTTGTCATATGATATGGGTAAATTATATAACATCCTAGGAACACACCGGTTAAAGTAGTGCCACATGTTCTGTACTCACCTAAATGTTTGCCAGTTAAAATCAGTGTTTTGATCACAAGACCATTTAATAATAGATAGAATTCTGCTGGGAGATATGGCACCTATTGAAATAGTCTCAACACCACCACCACCATGTAAATAACCAAAGACTTCGCATTTTCTCTGAATCAAAGCCACCCTGGTATGAGAAAGTAGTACAAAACAAGTGAGCAGACTAGGTCAGTGGGCCCTTCTCTACCTGAACTGATATTCCTCACAATTACATATGAAAGACCTAGCAGTCCCTGTAAGACCTACAATCATTATTAAACTTCAAGGGCTACATATTGTGAAAGTACCACATCCAGCACTGAAATCATAACCAGCTATTTCTGTCCTACATAGAATTCCTGTGTAGAAAATATTTCCCGATTTCTTAAAAATAGATTATGGTTTGTGTTTGCTCGGTCAGAGGACCACAGGTGGGGTCAGCTGTCTAAGTTATGATGTCCTCAGTGTTGTCAGAAGCCGCTCTCTTGGACATAATAAAGAGACGACTTAAAATGGGTTGAAAATTCCTAACTAAGAAACTCCAAGGTTAGCAGAGCAAGTCTATGTCAAGTCTGCATCAAACCTGTTCGGTTTTGTTATTACTGTGGTCTTTCACTTGATAGGACTAGGTTGAAATTTTTTAAATACCTAATTACTATTTTAAAACACTCTTGATTATATGAGCGTAATACCATTTAATGTCATTGGATACATGATTAATTGCTTAATATGGAGCAAGGGGACAAAACTACACTGCAGCAGAGAAGTTTTATTTTTACATTCAGCTTAAGTATGACATTTTTAATGCATTTATGTAACTATGTCATAAAAATGGTCAGTTGTCTTTGGGCATAGGTTGATACATGTGCTGATGATCTTATATACTTCATCTATTCTTATTTGTATGCATGATGTATTTACCTCAGTTTTCACAAAGCAGATTTGTTTTTAGCAGCAGGCTTTAGCTGCACAACTTGACTTTTCTATAAGTTTGTGTGATCCTACTGCTGTCCCTTTTCTAGTTGTATATGCCTTTCTCGAGTGGAAACTTTTGAGGAGTGTTTTATCGCCTACCGTGCAAAATGCCAGTTCCTATTCCTCAGTGCTTATCTATGAGGGTTATGGATGTTAATGTGTGAAAGTCATTGTCTAGAAAAAAATTCAATTTCTCTCTTACATCTCATTCTGGAAGATTCCGTCCAGTGGAATGCAACACAAGCTACGCTTAAAGGAGGCCCTGCTTCCTGGATTGTCAGAAGCTTCAGATAACATTCGGCTATTACTTCTTTGTAATATAAAATAGAACTATTTGTCTTTTCGTTTTTTAAAAAAATTCTCTTCAAAAAGAATCTTTTTAGTGCTGGCTTTCCTAGAGTGTAGAAGGCAACCTTTTCCCCATTTGGAGGGGGCAGCTATTAGGTTTAGGACTTGTTGAGCATTGACATGATCAGCTCTCTTGTTAATTATGTGTTAGCTAGAAAACTGAGGGACATTCCTTACCCAGCTAAACCAGTGTACTACCATAATTTAATAAAAATTCCCAAGTGACAGTGTCTGCTGAATGGATTTTCTTACACCATCTGGTGTCATTGTAGTTTTTTTGTTGTTGCTTTCATTTGAATGTGCTGATGATCTTGTTTTTATTCCGTAGCATTGAACAGATGGGTTGATTATTCTTTTCAGATATTAATAAGGCAGCGGAAAGAAGAAATATGAATACGGCTCCATCAAGACCCAGCCCCACACGAAGGTAAAGTACCCCGAAGCAGTGAGTTACCTTGGGAGAGTTGGGCTCTGGGGAGTTAAGCCCAACTTCGTACCTCAAGGGTCTTTTCTTCCCCCCAACAAATCAGAAACGCTCAAGCAAACAATAAGAACATGAACCTTGTATGAAGGGCCTTGCTGCTTTTTAAAAAAAAACATACATCAGGAGATACAGAGGAAGCTTTGTGTTTTCGGTGGCAAACCAGCAAGTTCAGCTTGCAGCAAGAGTTGCAGGCAATTGGAAGAGGATCAACCTCTGTCTGTCCCCAGCTCACGTGTCAATGGGAGCCTCCAGAGAGGAGGAGTGCCCCAGGGTCGCTGGTGTATGCCCGCTGCAGTGCAGCAGGCAGCAGAGATTCGACTCTTCATTCCAAATGGCTGCCGGTCCAGATGTTAACCCAGGTTTATGGAAAGTGCTGCTTGAGAGATTGCTGCTGTGCCTGTACTGCAGACCCTGTTTGCTCGCATGCTTGGGTTACCGTGAGGGGAAATAAAAAGGGCAAAACACTCCAACTCTCAGAAGTCTCCCTTTTTCTTAGTTTTCCTGGAAATAAAAGGTGTTTCCCCAGTATATCCTTCCTTCTAGCATACAAGAGTCCTGATGTCTACTCTACTGATGCATTAAATCAGCCCCTTCTCTGGCAGAAGAGCCTTATTAATGTTGCCATTTACACCAAAGATGAGTGTATATATCCGGACTGCCTCACCTCAGAGCATAGCACACACGGATGCGGCGTGTGCAGTTCTGTGTGGAATGTGGGCAGATAAGATAGTATTTTGTGACTGGTGTCTCTTCCTGGACCCAATGAATGGTGTGGATTTTGCCATTGCCCCTAAGTAAAAATGCTAATTTTACACTGTAAACTACATATTTGGACCATACACCACAGCATAATACATTTCCTATAATAAACTAAGCCCTGCCGAGTATAATGAATTCTGATATGTACTGGTAGCTCCACAGGTCACCCAGGGATATATTTACCCAACTAACTGAGCACTTACACAGAATATGCAGCTGTCCTGCTTTGGAACAAAAATACCGATATTTTGTTTACTACTTACAGTAAAGAATGGTTGCTGTTATGTGGTATTTGCCCCCACTTTAATATAAAGCTACCAGGAATAGATTACACAGATATATCTGTAGAGTTCAAGCAGAGCCCAGGGACAATATAATGCTGCTGATTTCAGTGGATGCCCTGGTCACCCATTGCTGTCAACTGCGGAAGAGAACATATACATTGGTATTCTGTCTGTGCTCTCTAACACCATAAGGAATGCCTGCGGCCAGCAGGTAAATACTGTGTGATTGATTTTGTGTGTACGTGCGAGCACCCTAAAGAACGTAAACGAATCCTGCGGGACTTCCACAGTGCTATGTCTGTTCTGTTACATGCGTCTCACCATACTGCAGATGTTGAGCAGTCCCTCTGTGTTGCTCCTCATTGCCCCGATAAACACGATCGCAGGTGGCTAGAAGCTTGCATCTAATGACCATTAATATGGGACTCCCACTGGAATCTGGTGTTGCCAAATGGTTTGAAAGGACATTCAGTGTGTATCTGCCTTCCAGAGCGCTCTGATATGTGTGTTTCTGAACTAGGCTACTTACCACAAGCTAAGTGGAATTAGTAAAGACTGGTGTCTTTATTCCACTAGTAAAATCCTCTCCTATCTCTTCTTCCCCGTGATACTTAGAACCTCTGAATAATTAGGTATTTCTACAAGCAAAAAAATTAAAAACGGAGTAATTCTTACCTGTGCTATGCATTGAGAAAAGTATGCCATCCTAGTAATGGTATTTAAGTAAAGACTTTTTAACATTTCCAGTTGGTTGTAGTAGGTATTCAATAAACATTGGCGATGTTGAAGACATAACCAGAACCTCTCCCCCATTGGAATCTAATACAGCCTTTGCCAAGGCATTAAATTGATAAGATTCATTTCATCCCAACCTAAATCCAAAATGTCATCATTGTAAAGTAACTTCTCTTAATAATAGCCTTCTCCACCCAAAATAAAAACCAACAACATTGAGAGGACCTTCTAAAATAGAAATCAGTCCTAAAATGAGGTCGGAATGCAGATAGGGCTAGGGCTCCCTGCTTTATTTACAAGCAGTAGGACAGACAGCTTAGTCTAATTCAAATTCCATCACAGATCTGTCTTCCCTTTGATGATGTGTCCTGACTGGGCTCCTCAGCATGTTGCTTAACATGATGAAGTTTAATGCAGTCATGCTTAATAAGGTTCAGGGAAGAGGGATGTTTACATTTAATAAAATCTGTCCTAAACTCCGTGTAAAACCTGAACAAAGAGTCCCAGTTGTGTGTGTTTGGTTGTTTTTTTAATAATAATTTAAAAGCCTAAATCTGGACAACTTGACCATTGTATTCAAAATGTAATACTAACATTTGATCACTGTCCTGATAATGTAGTCTCTTAAGGGCAAAAGTAAAATGCAGTAAGTTAACAAAATGGACAAGTTGTTAGCCTGGAAGGGCTAAGAGTGAACACTGGATATCACTCTGGTACTCATTTCTAGTCAACACCTTGAGACAATTTCACATGTACCAGCATGCTGACAGTGGTCAAACTGCCTTCCTTTGGCACTCCTAATTGTTTTGTGTGCCCTCCAGTCATCGGGGGATGCATTATTCACAGGGGAAAGAAAACAACTCTGCCTGTGGCAAATATTCCCCTAAGTTGTATGTCTTCAGTGCTGCTACTTTTGATAAGAAATATGTTTTTTAAGCATACTGGCAAGACCTTGGTAACACCTTATTTTGCTGGACTTTTAACCTTAAGTGTCAAAACACCTACCTATCTTTGGGAGCTTTCACAGGATTATCACCTCCTCCTCGAACGCTGTAAGCCACAGTTCTGGAATTTCTCTCTGTTTAGTAATGTACGTCCCTAATGACTCCAGCTGTCAGTATGTAATAATGACAGTATTGACCCCGCCAAGTACAAGACTGCATCGGGGATTCCTGCTCTGGATCAAATTTCAGCCTAAAATTTCATCGTTTCATCCTCAGACCACTTCACTGGACTCTTATGTTACACGGTTATCATTGCCACTAGGCGAGTATTCCTTACTGTCTTCAGAGACTGCCGTGTTTCTTCTTGTATCTCAGATGTCCTCAGTTTCCATCTTCAGTTCAATATTTGGACATCCCAAGACCTGGAGTATACTCCTCGAAGGCATGACCACCAAGTATTTGTAGTGAGACTGTATTCTGAACCTCCTTACACTTCCTAAGGAAAACTGAATACATGAATACCTAAGGAAGAATTGTCTACATGAAAAACTCTGCAAAGATTTCCCCCATGTGTTTGTGAAGGATGTTAGGCCTGGTACCTCTGTGGAGAAAGTCATCTGGAATTGGCTCATCAGAAATAATCTAGCTGTTGACACAGGTCTTATGACCCAAGATCGTTTCTTCATATCCACAGTGTTAATTCTATTGATAACTGCTTGCTCCTTGGGTGGGAGGGAGACAGTCCTAGCTCTAGATGGGCCAAAGATTCCGTGCCACAATTGCCTCTTCTGTAAAACCACAAAAAGAGCCATCAGTTCTCAGCAAGCACCATCTCTGCCAACCGAAAAGTCCAGTTTGTGCTGGAGAAAATCATCTGTGCTTCCTAGGGAGTAGCATGAGCACTTACGAAATTTGAATCTCTGAGGTGTGATTATCTCATTCACCCCATATCCTACCTGCGCCTAATGTCAGATTCTGCTCATGTCTCTTCCCCGTTTCAGCAGCACAGTGCCATCACGGGGGGATCAACGGCACACAGCAACCAGACATTTAGGTAACAGTATTTGTGGACCCTATCTGTGACGGAACAGAAACACAAAAGAATGGGTGAAGGACTTTTTCCCCAGGAGCAAAGAAAAAGACTGGCCCTCCCAAGGAAAGTATTCCAGCAAACAAAAAGAGAAGAAATGAGATGCTGACGAAAGAAAGAAAAGAACAGACCTTCCCCAACCTTACTGTATAGCCAAGACCAAAGAACATCCCACGCTTGAGATTTCACGTCTCTGGCTGAAGAGAGCCTCAGAACCTGTCAGTTTTCTAAGATCATCAACTGTCAGTTCTTATTCTGAGGCCTCTCAGATGCTTGGTTCCCTGAATACCCTGTTAGTCCCCAGGAAGAGAAGCAGATCCCCCAGAAGTATGCCACCTGCCATCTGGGCCATGGTTTCCTTCCCTTCACCCATCCTTCCCTTTCCTCTCAAATGTTTCCAAGTGATATGACTTTATTTCTCTCAAAACAAAGAGGACTTGACTTTCTTCCCTGCTGAATAGATGAGGAATTATAACAGAATTTAAAGTGTTTTTCACCTGCTTTTAGTTTGCGAACTATGTGCTGAAATTTAACCACTGTTCCGTTTCTTCTTAGTCTCTAGCAACCTGGCACATGAGGGTGCACTGCACTTGGGTCTCCCATAAAATACCCCTGATGCCTGGGGATGATATTATAAACCTTATTCTCTAGAAACTTCCTTCTAACCCACCTGTTACCTGAGGTCAAGCATCTCATTCAACAGCCTTTACCCAGGCGATACTCAGAATCCTGCACACTGTACCACCCTTTGGTTAGCTGCTGCTTATTTGGGACAGGTGTTGGGGCAGCAGCAGAGGCCCATTTATTCTGGGAAGTCATTTGTTTGGGTCCAAAAGTGACCCTAAAGGGTGTTTGTTTTGTTTCTGTCTCCAGAAGGACAGCAGTCTACTATACTGCTCATCTGTGAGAAAGGGAAAAGGCTTGCCTAGCTTTTCATTTCAAAGACTTACCTTTTCTGTTGCTGCTTCCACCACCCCTTTGGCTCCTTAACTCCTTGTGAATATCATCTCTTCTACATTTTTACACAGAATGCAATTGAAGGGGAATTGAGGGCATGGGAGTGCTTGCCTTCTCAAACCATAAGCATAAACCTTAGGGGATTTAAGGTTATGGTCAATCTCCAGGGGTGGGCTCTGACAGGTAAGTGAGATGTTTTAGTGGACTCAAAGAATGAAACCAAATGTGACATCTGTAATTACCCTAAGGCTGTGAATAATAATGTGCTGTGACATGGTGTTCTTATCTGTGTCCTCACCTCCATTTCCACCAGCCCAAGGTTTTGTGTGTGGTCTGTGGTCTGTCAAGTCCATGATCTCTCTCAGCCTTGATTGCCAAGAACACTTGAAATCTGATTCCACCATTAATGACGGCTTCTAACTGCTCCCCGAGGCAGGTTTGTCTGCCTGTCATTAATCCAGAAATACTTTACAGTTGTCCTTTCCCATTGGATCTTGAGTGTTTACCCACATTGTATACTAGATCAGATGTTATACATGTTAGAAGAATTATGCGACATAGTAAGAAAAACTGAAGAATCTTGGTCAGTCTGTACTTTATTCTAGTAAGAAAAGTGTTTAACAGCCCTCAATTAAATTCTCTGGTCTTCTATATCGAGTACTTCAGGGCCATAAAAAAAATACAATGTGGACTTTTCATTGAAGCACAATTGGCATTTTAAAGAGTGCTGTGATTGTGGAAGAGGGAGAGGTGAAGTTTTCTACCGAGCTGATGGCATCTGGATGAACGCCTACTATGTGTAATCTTGGTAGATGACAAAAGTATAAATAAAACATGGTGCCTGCACTGAGAGGCTTGTAGTTTAATTGAATAACTCATTAAACATTTCCTGACACTCTGCTGTATTGTAGGGAGGAAAAAACTTTGAAGTCTCACTTTTTGGTAGGAAAGCTTTATAAACAGATAATTATGGAACAATGTGATAAGTATCATAATAGAAATATATACAGGAGCAATATTCATTCAAAATATTTAAGGAACATCTACCTTGTGCCAGACATTATAAACCTGCATAGTAGCTATATAGTAGAGATTAAAATGTCCTTGTCCCCATGGACTTTCAGCTTAATGGGACAGTCATTGAACAAGTAATATAATATCCAATTATAAATGACAAGTAAAAACAGGGAGATGCTATGAGAGATTGTGGTCAGGATTTAGGAGCAGAAGATGAACTGTTGAGCTAGCAGCATCGGGGTAGGAGATAACTTTTGCTAAGACCTGAAAAGTGAGTATTGGTCCATTTCTGCTCAACTAGAAGCATCAGAAAATGCCTTAGTTGATAGCTGAAGGACCAATGTAGAAAGAGAAGTGAATTTGGAATAGAGAGAGGTGGTTGGAGTAAAGCAGAGTCAAAAAATTTTTTAATATGGGCAAAATTAATACTAATTTCAGAAAAAGCAATATGGAAGTATAATTGGTAGAGTGGGTGAAACTTTAAGGCAAGGGTTGCATCTAATTTACTGGCTTGAGCAAGGGTATGTGCCATTTATTGAGGTGGAAAGAACTAGAAGTTGAACATTTGTTGGGAATGATCATGGTTCAGGGCAGGTTTTATGGAGGAGGTAATCTTCAAAGTGGGTGAAACGACATTTTAAATCGTAGATTGAGATGAGCAGTAGAAATAGTACTGAAAGAGGAGAGATCAGCAATTAATAGGGAAATTAGAGAATATTTTTTAGAAACAACAGGACATGAACTTGCTTGTGAGGATTGTTTAATACTTGCATTAATGCAAGAAAAATATCCCAAGAGGAAAAGCCATGTGGACAGAAACAGTGAAACATGTCATATGAGCTAACTAATAAGAACAGCCTTAGTAGAACTGAGGTTGACTCAAGAAAGGAGAAAGAGAGTGGTTGGGGAAGGACCATATTGTTAGAGACAGGTGCCCAGAAGCACCTGATGGCCAAGCTGTGATTGGTAATAGGTGGGAGTTAGTATGGTTAATCTGTTACTTGTATGTTGAGTAAGTTGAAATCTGGGCGACTGGCTTTTTGTTGTTGTTTGTAACAACAGAGATAAACGTTTGAGTTGAATTTATATATTCATAAGAAAAATGAACATGATTCAAGTGACTTAATTAGGACAGGGAAGGAAGAATCAAAAGTTAATTTTTTTAAACTTAAACCTTGGTTACTGGGAAGATGATTATTGACAGAAGTGAAAAAAGCCCAGAAGAGGATTGGCTGAGTTCTATATAAAAGTTTAATTTTTAAAATGTTGGGAATGGGTTTTTAATGGGTGGAATCTCTAATGAAGCAAAGTCTTTATTTGCTGACCAGATGGATTGACTCTTCTTAAAATTTTAGTCATGTTCTCACTGTTTGACTGCTATGTTTTAGTGAAAAACACTTGGAGGGTGGGAGCTTTCTCCAGTAAAGAGCTGAAAGGTTGGCTACCTTCAATTTCTCTGTCTTAGCATCTTCTTGCTACCTCCCACAGAGATCCATATGGCTTTGGAGATGGTCGAGATACAAGACGTGATCGATCCCCAATTCGAGGAAGCCCAAGAAGAGAGCCCAGAGATGGCAGAAATGGCCGGGATAGCAGGGACATGCGAGACCCCCGAGACCTGCGGGACCACAGAGATAGCAGAGACATCCGGGATCATAGAGACAGCAGAAGTATGCGTGATGCTCGGGACATGAGGGATCTTAGAGACTTTCGCGATCTAAGAGACTCTAGGGATTTTCGAGATCACCGGGAACCCATGTATGACAGATACAGAGATATGAGAGATTCCCGAGATCCCATGTACAGGTACATTAACCACTCCTCTGCATGTTGGTTTTGGTTTTTTTAAGTTTTTCTTAAGTGTGTGCCATTGAATTAATTGAAAGCTCTGTAAGGTTAGTGACTTTTATCAGCCTTAAACTTTTGGTGTCAAAGGGTAGGTGATGTGCTGCTGAATAAATATTTGCTGAACATGTGAATGATTGATGAACTATGCTTAGTGACTCTAGGTATCTCCCTGTGGGCTATGAAACTGTACAAATTTGTACTATTTGTACAAATTGTACAAATAGTGCAAATTGTTTTGGCAGTACAAAAGCATAGGGAGCATGCGAAATGGCTAGTGTATGAATGAAAAGATGCTCAACATCATTAGTCATTGGGAAAATGCAAATCAAAGACACAGTGAGATACCAGGTCCTACCTACTAAGATAGCTTTTTTTTTTTTTTTTTTTTTTTTTAAGAAAACCCAGGTGTTGGCAAGTTGTAGAGAAATTGGAACGCTCATACATTACTGGGGGGGCTGTAAAAATGGTGTGGCTGCTGTTGGGAATAGCTTGGTAGTTGCTCATAAGACTAAACATAGAATTACTGGGACTCGTCACTTCCACGCCTGAATATATACTTAAAAGAACAGGAAAGAGGAACTCAAACAGATAGATGCACATGAGTGTGCAAGCGGCATACGGTAGCCCAAGGTAGACAGGACCCAAATACCCATAGATGTGTGGGGTTTTCTTAAGGTGACATAGCCACACAATAGACTATTGCAGCCATAAAAAGGAAGCCAGTTCTAGTACATGCTGGCATGTGGATGAACCTTAAAAACAGTACACTAGAGAAGTAAGCCAACCAGTGTAATAGTTCCACCTAGATACTTGCAGTATCTAAAAAAGACAAATTCATAAAGACTAAAAGTAATTAGAGGCTATGGGGATGGGACATGAAGAGTTGATCCCTCATGGCTACAAGAGTGTTCTATTCAGGGTGATGAAAACATATAGATTATGACTTATGTATGTATGTAGAGTTGTTTTTAACCACAATTTTTTTAAAGTAGAAGGCAGGAGTGGGAGGGGAAGGGGCCATGGAATGATTCATTAAAAGTCTTACCAGTAATTGCTACCAGTTATTTCACATCTGCTTTATGCTGGGACTATCCTGAACTTTCTGTACATCCTCCCAGTCATTTTGCATGACACGTTAATAACAGGTGGAGCTGTGGAAATGATAAGCAGCACATCCCAAGCCTGGCTTACTGCATCAGAGTCCTGTGGCTCGCTGTGCTTATGTACTCACAGGGTTCTGGGACAGGGGATTCTCGGAGATTTGCAGCTTAGCATAGTTTTAACTTTGTGCGAATTTCTTTTAACTTTTCAGGAGAGAAGGTTCATATGACCGATACCTACGAATGGATGATTATTGCAGGAGAAAGGATGACGCTTACTTTGACCGTTACAGAGATAGCTTTGATGGACGAGGCCCTCCAGGCCCAGAAAGTCAGTCTCGAGCAAAAGGTAAAGTAGCAGAAATAGTTTATTATTAGTGGTAGAACACTTTACAAAAGAAAAAGGAAACTAATAAATGGAAGAGGGATTAAACCATTCACTAAATGAAGAAATACAAATAGCATATTAATGTATAGCGAATAGCAGCTTAAAAATAGTTTTTAGGGCCCTCCCTGGTGGGGCAGTGGGTTCAAACACAGCACTAAGAAGCTAAAGCCGCTTCCGCATGAGTTCGATCCCCGCCTGCCCTGGAGGTGACCACATGGCGTGTCAGACCTCTCCTGGCCCACCCGCTGCTCCCCTCGGCAGTGTGCTTCCTCAGTCGGCCTGTTCTGCTCCCCACTCTGTCTCTGGTGAAGCCTCTCACCACCCCTGCACCTCTGGCCAGTACCCCAGTTCTGTATGCATAAATAAATAAATCTTTAAAAGAAAATAGTTTTTAAAATGCAAATTGATATCATCTAGTTTAGTCATCTAATAAGAAGAAACAAATAGGAAATTCCAGCAGTAAGAAATCAACAAAAGATTAAGATGAAGAGTTTAGGGGCTTGCTGTTTGCCCATGACTAAACCATGATAGTCCTCTATGCAATGTGGAGTTTTTGTTTCATCTGTAGTTTTCAAATAATAGCATCTCTTTAAGTAAAGACAAACATTTTTTCAAATCCTGATTTTTCTCAGTTCATCTTTAGAGATTTTAAAGTCACTTTATATGTGGTCAAAATAAATTAAGAATCTCATATTTAATTTGTTCTAAAACTTTACCACCTGTTTTTTTTTTTTTCTTCCCAAAATAAAGTAGATTACAAGTGCCTGTCAGTAGGGTTCTTAGTTTTCCCAAAATCGCAAATTACAATGATAGTGAAATATCACCTTGCTGTAAAGTTTGCAGGAATTTTTTAAACGACAATACCTAATGATACCTAAAATGTAGAGAAATTGCGCTAGATAATCTACCCCTGTGAGGGATGACTAATAATAGCATTTCTGGAAGGCAGTGTGGCGGTATATAGCTGGTAAAATGTTAAAACCCCTGTAGCATTCCCTTTAATCCGACCATTCCATGTGGATAGATTTATAGTAATAAAAAATTATAATCCTGGCTGTTTTTAGGTGATAGTCTTAGAGAATTCAGTGGGTGTGTGACGACCTTTACCTATAAGTAGTTTAGTTAGAAATAAGGCCTATGACTTTAGAGAAAGGCAGAGTCCATATTTCAGTTTTCCCTGGTGGTATCTTGCAGAGCGTTTGAAACGTGAGGAACGGCGTAGAGAAGAGCTTTATCGTCAATATTTTGAGGAAATCCAGAGACGCTTTGATGCTGAGAGGCCTGTTGATTGTTCTGTGATTGTGGTCAACAAGCAGACTAAGTAAGAACCCTTTGATATTTCTCCTGAATAAGGAGAAGTCAGAAGAGAAATTGAGGCTCCCTCTTGGCATCTCTGCCCACTGAACGTGAGCAGGGTATTCTGACATTGCCATGCTGTGTTGGCCAGAGTTCTTTCAGTGGTAGACGATAGGAAGCCCATTACAAACTGGCTTAGCCTCCAGAGGGAAATTCTTAGCTTATTGACTAAGGATTTCAGGCATGCATTGTTGGACAGGCTTTGTTTGAAAAACAGAAAGGCATTGGTCATAGTATCGTCTTAACAAACCCAGTGGGAAGAGAGCTTCTCTTTCCCAGTGCTTCTACCTAAAGTCTTGGAATTGTATCTCATCAGACTGGCCTGGCTCACTTTCCCATCCCTGAACCAGTTACTTTAGCTACAGTGTTGGGATCATCTGTGTGGCCACAGCTAGGTCTTGTGCCCATCCCTGAAGTTAAAGTTGGGATTGCTCGTGTTGATAGAACCATGTGGACTGAGTGAGAAGTGCCTTCCCAAAGGAAAATCAAAGGGACTTAGACTGGTCAGACAAAGCAGTAGATGCCATCTTCATGGATACCCTGAATCCCTGATGCTTGGGGCACATGTCTCTGCATCTGTCAGTCAAGAACCCAGCCTTCCTCGTGACATGCTACAGGCATGTGAGACAGTTAGGTGAGCATGCTCATGAAGCCAGAGTTCCCAGTGCCATTTGATACCACCTCTGTTTTACATTCTTTCCTGGAAGAGAATGTTCCCTCTCCCCAGGTGGTACATAAATAACTTCATGTATTTCCTAGTAGTAGGGGTTAAAAAGCTAATTTCAAGGCAGAGACTAGGGAAACGGGCATTGAGAAACCAAGCAGCAGTCAGAGTTCATAGACTCTGGGCTCCTTGTTGAGATTGGTGATGTTTTAACTATAGATACCGGCGGGCTTTTGTTGGACATGTTCATAGACATCATTATCTGAGCACTGACTTTGCACTACCCCTTGCTGAGGGCTTTACTTAAATTGTTTTTGATCTTCACAATAGTCATGTTACATATGTATTCATTCAGCAAATATTTAAATGTATAGCACATGCTGGAAGTGGGGCTGTGATGCTGAAAGCACGGCCTCCTGCACACCCCAGTTGGGTCGATGACTTATTGGTGATGAGTCCTATGAGAAGACCTATGTCAAGATTGTAATTTAGATTGAAGAAAAGGAAATGACAGACATATAAAATGAGCCATGTTTCGCCTGTCTTACTGGTAAAGAAACAGGTTTCTAAGAAGTAAAAGGACTTGTTCTTACCATATAAATGTAAGAAGTAGGCTGCAAACCCATCTTAGCATTCCAAGCATCCTCCCTATTACGTTATGTCCCCCCAGCACACACACATACAGATTATGTGCCACCAAGAAGGCCCTGGTACTGGACAGTGTACTGCTGGTAACTTTGTAACCTGTGTGAGCCAGGGTGAAAAGGGATTGGTCTAGATTCTTGGAGCCTGAAGAGGGCCAAGAAATCTGAACTTGGGCAGTAGGATTTCAGCTTGCCATAGAGGCGTGATAGTGAACGGGCTATGCATCAGTCAAAGAATCTCACCTGGGTGCTGTTTTTTCTACAGAGATTATGCTGAGTCTGTGGGGCGGAAGGTGCGAGACCTCGGAATGGTAGTGGACTTGATCTTCCTCAACACAGAGGTGTCGTTGTCACAAGCCTTGGAGGACGTTAGCAGAGGAGGGTCTCCTTTTGCTATTGTCATCACCCAACAGCACCAGATTCACCGCTCCTGTACTGTCAACATCATGTTTGGAACCCCACAAGGTACGGAGGCCCGAGTGGGTCAGCATTCCAGACAGAGGTGGTCCCTAGTCCACTAATTCTTTTGTGCCTTACTCAGCTGAAACATGGCAGGGCTCTGTTTGAAGTATGCTCATCATCTTTAACAATAACTATGCTGTCCCCAGAAAACAAGCTAGTTGTTTCTCCAGTGGGATACTTTTTAAAAAGACGTCCATTTGGTTATTAGGGAGCCAGCAATACTAGTCCACCGACACCAGAACTCAGTACTCAGATCTTACACAGGTGATGCAAATTCTTTGTATTTATTTATTCATTGGGTAGTCTTTCAGTGGATACAGTTCTGTGCCAACCACCTGTAAGAGACCATATTTAGCCATCAGATATATATGATGGAGTAGTGGCAAATATCTGTGGGGCGGGTGGTTAATCAGTACTCCCACTGTGTCTTACTTCTCACCACCAGTGTGAAGCGACTTCGGGAGGGAGAGGTGGAGAAGAGATGAACAGGTGGTCTTGCAGTAAGAGGTGGCTCATCAGACCTCTGGCACATGTGACACTAAATATGGTAAAATCCTTGTTTTCACCAAACTTTCTAGAGGGGGACAGAGAATACATCAGGCAATGGGATACTGTCACAAGTGTGCCAGAGAAGTGAGCAGAGGGGCTGTGGACAGGAGCAAGGCCCAGGGTAGGTTCAAGTACTGAGAAGCTGTAAGTCATGTTCCCCAAAGGGTAGAAGGCTATGTAGGGTCACAGTTTGATCTTAATCCATGACCTTCGAACTGATGAATTAAAAAAAACGGTAGACAGCTCTGTCCTGAGGTGCACAGTGGAGAGCAAGCTTTACAAAAGAGCTTTTTAGCCCCCTGCAGCCTACCTCCCATGGTCAGTCCCCATGTGATGGTTGTGAATCTGTGGGGAGCTGTCATGCTTCTTTGGTTTTTACTATGAGTCTGTGATCTCGGAATTCCCCAGAGCACCAGCTGTGCAGAGGTTCATGTTCCTCGCCAAAGAAATGCTTTCACCTGTTTGCACACCTCCCTCCTTCCCCTCCCAGTCTTCCATCCCAAGAGTCCTTTCCCTGAAATGGTTTTCTTTTTGGCTTGAGGTTGGTGTAAGTCCAGCAGGTGGGCACTCAGATCTGTCACGGGAAAAAATAATTCCTGTCATTCCCTCCTGCAGAGCATCGCAACATGCCCCAGGCAGACGCCATGGTGCTAGTGGCCAGAAATTACGAGCGCTATAAGAATGAGTGCCGGGAAAAGGAGCGTGAGGAGATTGCCAGACAGGCAGCCAAAATGGCTGATGAAACCATCCTACAGGAAAGAGAGAGAGGAGGCCCTGAGGAAGGGGTGCGTGGGGGGCACCCTCCAGCCATCCAGAGCCTTATCAACCTGCTGGCAGACAACAGGTACCTCACTGCTGAAGAGACTGACAAGATCATCAACTACCTGCGAGAGCGGAAGGAGCGGCTAATGAGGAGCAGCACCGACTCTCTGCCTGGTGAGCTACGTGGCAGGGCCGAGGTGAAGTTCTGACTCTGCATTTCTCTAATCCCCAGGCTCTGTTGGGAGGGTGGCGGCCCAGGGCTTTCCGGGGCAGGTGGGGGAAACAGGCCTGTCATGGGGTTCTCCCATGCACCATCCGGACTGATAGAATAATAATCTAAGATTCTGGTGCTGAATTCTGGTCCCAGTAGTTAACATGGTGGTGGGTGAACTAGTAGAGCTGGCTCCCTAGGAACTCAAATGGGTGTACTTTTTTTTTGAAGTAGTTCTCCGGGAAACCGGACTGTTTTCTGAAAAACAGCATACACTGTGAAGTGATGACCCCCTGGGGAAATTGATGTTATAGCCTGTACTGTGTGATTGATGTGATCAGTGATTGTTCTTCCTGGGCTGCTAAGCCTCTTGCCAGTGGGGTACTTTGAACCAGATACTTCCTCCTTGTGTCTCCTAGGCCCGATTTCACGCCAACCACTCGGGGCGACCTCGGGTGCCTCGCTGAAGACACAGCCAAGTTCCCAATCGCTCCCCAGCGGCCAAGTGCTCCCCTCTGCTACACCCACTCCAGCTGCACCCCCCACCTCCCAGCAAGAGCTTCAGGCCAAAATCCTCAGCCTTTTCAACAGTGGCGCGGTCACGGCCAATAGCAGCTCTACATCCCCCTCAGTTGCTGCCGGAAACACCCAGAACCAGAATTTTTCCACAGCAGCGAACAGCCAGTCTCAGCAAAGATCACAGGCCTCTGGCAATCAGCCTCCAAACATTTTGGGACAGGCAGGATCTGCCCGGAACATGGGCCCCAGGCCTGGGGCTCCTTCCCAAGGGCTCTTCGGCCAGCCTTCCAGCCGCCTGGCGCCTGCCAGCGGTGTGGCTAGCCAGAGGGCCGTGGCTTCCACAGGCATCAACTTTGACAATCCAAGTGTGCAGAAGGCTCTGGACACCCTGATCCAGAGTGGCCCCGCTCTCTCCCACCTGGTTAGCCAGACCACGGCACAGGTGGGGAGGCCCCAGGCCCCCATGGGATCTTACCAGAGGCACTACTGAGGCTCAGTCTCGCAACGCCTCCCAGACCCCTCACCCCCTGGCCTCCTCCCACTCACTGCGTTCTAGATAGAGTTATTTGGGGGACATTCTCTGCACCTCTCCAGGTCCACATCAAATGCCGTAAGTTTCTGCCACCTGCTCTCCTGCCCAAGGCTGCGTTGCTTATTCGAGTCAGAGTCAATATTGCGTTTGGGGGTCTTTTTTTTTTTTTTTTTTTTTTTTTAATAGAAAATATCTGGTCATTGGGCATTGTAGGCGAGAATGGGCTCTTAGTCTGTTTTTCTTGGATTTCTCTGTCCGTTTCAGGGGGGAGAGAAGCAGCCAAGCCCTGGTGGGTTGGGTTTGCAGTGGCGTTTCCCCGTCAGTAACACTGCCTGTTGTCATCTTGAACCTACCAAGGTGTTCGGCCTCAACCGCCCGCCGTGCAGCCTGAGGGCGCAGCACGAACAGGTTGTCACTGTGCCCTGGCTCTGGCCTGCCGCTGGTGGAGGCCGGGGTTGTGTGGAGAGGCTGTGGCAGCACAGCACAGACAGGTTTTGCTCAACCCAGGGCTCTTTTTTCTTTTTTTTCTCTTCACCATTTCATGAGAGGATCTCCGGTGGGCAGACCTGCTGCAGTCAGCAGTTTGACCAGACTGTGGGGTTGGGCCCCACAGCTACCCCCTAACATTTCTGTCAACATCTCCCTCTCCAGTGCTAGTTTCTCAGAGTTGGTTCTCAGAAGGCAGGTCTGGACTCTGGCAGTGAACACCCACTTCAGGGACTGTTTTGAGTTTTTGGCTCAAAAATCAGGCTCTTGTTTCCACCTAGAATCTTGATTTTGTTTTCTGAGCAGCAGGAGGTAGGGACCATTTTGATGTCAGACTTGTGGTCGCTGGACACGTTCTTGATACGGCGGCTGTTCATGACTTTTGAGCCAGAATGAAACTACTAGAGGGAGGGCTTCTGGCTGCTGCTCTAGATGGAGCCGAGGGCAGCTGCTGTCTCCCTGGGGAGGTGCCCGTCAGAGCCCTGCGGATCACGATGGCCTCCAGGGGCCCTGGCAGGAACGAGGGAGTGCAGTGGCTTCAGCTGAGGCCCTGCTAGTGGCTCAGCAGACAGTGGTTTCCACACTCAAGGTCCCCAGATGGCAGCGTTTTTGTTCTGACCTGTTTGTGTTATATAGTGTTTTTTTTTTTTTTTCCTCTTTGGAACTCTTGTGTTGTTAATAAGATGAAATGATTACTTTTTAATTAAAATGAAAATGTAAAAGCTGCGTCCTCTCTTTTGGGTATGGCTAGCTGCAGGACCTCTTTGCAGGTCCCCCTCCCAGATTAGAAGGGGAAGGTCCCAGCACAGCACTGCCCAGTTTCAGTTGGCTGTGACATCTGCCCCTTGTCCCCGACCTGTGGTCAGACCTCGAAGCCTCTCGAGCCTATTCTCTCGGAATGTAGCTCACCTAGTTAGAAGGCTTAGTAACAGTTCAGAGCAAAAGCCTGCTGGCTAATTATAATCTTGTGTTAAACACCCTGTTTGTGGTAAACTTTCAGTGCGTCAGCATCACCCTAAGAAAGGAAAACAGGCTGTGTTTGGCCAGTGGCCAGTGGAGCGGGTACTCTCCTGTTCAGAGAGGGCAGAGTTGGCAGAACCATGGTGTCATAGAGCCTTGGAGAACTTTAGTAGCCAGCTCCAGCAGGAAATACGGGGCCGCCCGTGGGTCAGCGACAAGAGGCTGGCAGCGCTGAGCCTGACCTGTAAGTGGCGACCTGCTCTTCTGCCCTGCGCCCCGGGGCGGGCCCACAGCTGCCCCTCCTGCCAGGGCCTGGCTGCATTCTGATTAAGTCTCCAGGATCTTCCTGGAGGCCGCCCTGGGCTCCTGTCTCCCCGCCAGTGTCCGGACAGCATAGCTCAAGCTGTGAAGGGTATAATAAAATTATTTTTATTGCATTTTGTGCAGACGGGAGTCTAAAAAATTAATACAGTAAAAGCTGTAAAGCATTAAATGGGAGCATTCAACAATAAAGGAAAGAACCGACCCTCTCCTTTTCATATTGGCACAAAGAACACAAGATCAATACTGAGGCAGAATGCGGAATACTGAAACACTTACACTGAAAATTAAAGGCAGGCCTAATAATAGTAATAAATACTCTTGATTTGGTTGCAACCTCTCCTATTTACAAGGGTTTTCAACTTCATTGCATTGCCCTGCACATAGATCTTCTAAAACAAAAGCAACACTAGTTATCACTACAAGGCTATTGAAATATTGCACTCAGAATAAAAGTCACTTGAATGGACGTGAAACATCTAGCTACAATGGTTATAAAGAGAATCTGATGAATGACTTGTGATAACATTCATAACAAATATTGCACATGTAGCACAGAAAACTTGGGTTCTTGTTGTGGGATGTTTGTTTTCATCAACGAAGCTGCTCTTGCCAACCAGCCTGGCCCAGATAGTGCAACTTTGGTTCCCTAATTGGTGTTGGTTGATGCAGCCCCTTCCCCTCGACCCAGCACACCACTTGAGCCCTGGAATGCTCTGACGGCCAGAAGCTAGACCTAGGTGGTTCTCAAAAGGAGGTCTTTGGAGGATTGTTGGGGGGCTGGGGGAGGGGGGTTGCTCTGGTATCTAATACCTCCAGGCTTCTGATGACCACCTGGAAGAATCCATCCAGCCCAAGATCAGATCACAGAGGGGCTTTGGCCCAACAGCGATGTCCAGACCTACCTCCAGCCACACCTGACCCACTGTAGATGACATCAGCTCCAGCTCTGCTTGGGTTCAAAGGAAAGGAGGGGCGAGGTCAGGAGTCCCCAACAGCCCCAGCTCTGGCGAGTGGGCAGGACGCCTAACTAGGTGTGAAGGCCAGGGCCCTGGGGGTGGAGGGCCTGTACACCCAGTCCCGAAGGCGCTGGCCCAGCATGCAGTGCCTGCCCCCTTAGAGGAGTGCCCTGGGGAAGGGACCCCAGACGATGGCGCCTTCTCTAGGGCTAGAAGTCGCCCCCCCCCCCCCGGGCCGTGGGGCAGAAGCGCCATGGACCGGAGTTGGAGAAGCCAAAGACCTCGTCCCGGGTGGAGGACAGAGGCGCTGAGAACAAAGCACACAGCGATTCCAGCCCTTCCGCAGACCCAGGTGCCCGGGAGACGCAGCTAGCTAGAGGCCGCTGCTAGCAGCGAGGCCCGGCTGGAGTCTTGGAGAAGGCGGCGAGGTTCCCCCGAGACCGGAGCTGCCGGGTGGGGACAGCGGAGGAAACATCAGGGGCAGCACTGGGGCCTGCATGGTGGGCCCGGCGCCTAGGCCAGAATGGCCCCCCTCCTCCCTCACCTGTCCCAGAGAAGAAACTCCGAGGAGAGGACGCCCTCCAGCTCCCCGACTTCAGTCTTTGGCTAGGAGCCATGGGGTAGGGGAGCAGGCGACCAGCCGAAGGTGGACAGTCGCCTGCTCCCCCAGCGAAGGCACCGGGGCGGGGCTTCCTAGGCGGGGCGAGGGCCTCTGGCCTTTCCCCTGCACGGAGCGCCCCTCCCCTATCCTGGCCCCCGCTTGCATAAGAGCCGGGAGAAGAGGCTGCGCGCCTCTGCAGCCGCAGTGGAAGCGCTCGTCCGCGGGGAGGCGAGTCCAGGAAAAGCTGGACGCTGTCTCACCTCACCTCCGAGGAGAACTAGAGGGGAGGGGCGGAAGCCTAGGGCGCGCGGAAGGGGTGGGGAGGCGAGAGCGGGGCAGGGCTGCGGGGAGCCAGAACCCCGACTCCCGCCTGGGCCGAAAGCCTTTCTGTTCTCAAACTCTCCGACGGCAGGAAAGCCCAGCCCCCGCGGCCCCCGCGGCCCCCGCCGCCCCGGGCGCCCCCAGCGGGAGAGCGCGACAGTGGCGAGAAGAGAAGTCCGTTGCGCTTCTAGTCACAGAAATATGGGGACGTTAAAAATACACGCGATGTCTCCTGTACACTATGTATAGGCTCGGCCGGCCCGCGCCCCGGCCCCCGCTGCGAAGAGGC